GCCCACTCCCTCCCTTCCAACTCCTCCCATATCTCCCCATCACTTTTTTCTGATAACTTCATGTACTCTTTCTTCTTCTTTTATTTTTTTTTATGGGGCTTTTGGCTACTCTAACATTCCCCACCTCTGAAACCCTAAAATCTTTTAAGGATTAGATAAACGCTCCCAAATCTTTTTGACATTTTTGGCCTTTAGAACTGAGTATGTTGCTAAGAGGTCCAAGGACATTGTGAATTTTAGCCAAGAAACTGGCTAGTTTTCTTTGGGGTCTTTTTAACCCTAACTGCCTAGCCAATTCCTACCTCCTATTCCTTTTTTTAAATTTTTTATTTTATTTTATGTGTATGCATGTATTGCCTGCATGTAGGTAAGTGCATTGTGTCATGCAATGCCCGCAGAGGTCAGAAGAGGCCATTGGATCCCCTGGGACTGGAGTTATGTGTGGGTCTCTCCCTCCCCTCGTGGGCCATTGGCCACCGATCCATGAGAACAAAGGGAGCAGAAGTGACAAATGGGGTCAGGACAGCCCATGAGTATAACAGAAAAAGCTTTCCAGGAGACTGCTTCAGTGATACAGCTCGTTTATTCAGTGGGGGTCAGGGAAAAATATAGGGTGGAGGCAGCAGCCAAAGCTTCAGCTGATAGGTGCTCATAGTATGCTTTATTTACATGTGGTAGAGGGATCCTAACATCTGGCTATAGGGCAATGCCTAATTATCATATAGAAAAAATCTGGGGGCAGCTTTACTGCAGGTAACTATGCCAAAGGTCATGTTCCAAATAAGGCCAGGCATCCGTGGGGAAAAATATAGGGTGGAGGCAGCAGCCAAAGCTTCAGCTGATAGGTGCTCATAGTATGCTTTATTTACATGTGGTAGAGGGATCCTAACATCTGGCTATAGGGCAATGCCTAATTATCATATAGAAAAAATCTGGGGGCAGCTTTACTGCAGGTAACTATGCCAAAGGTCATGTTCCAAATAAGGCCAGGCATCCGTGCCTAGAGGCGTTCAGGCATCCTTGCTTGGAGGCACTTTCCAGTTAAGTCAGGCAGGAAGCCCCTGCTGAGAAAGGAGCCACCCTTTACAGCAGGGTTCCCCAACAGGCCACTTCATTCTGATCAAAGGAACAATAAATCAAGAAGATATTACAAGCTCCTTAGAGCTATCTGGACATGGTGAACTGCAACCTTAGCAGCAGGGTCCCCCAACAGTTATGGACAGTTGTTAGCTGCCATGTGGGTGCTGGAATTCGAACTCAGGTCTTCTGTAAGAACAACCAGTGTTCTTAACTGCTGAGCCATCTCTCCAGCCCCACCTACCACCTATTCTTATCACACCATCCTCTGAAGAGGTTACCCAGCTTGTGGATAGGGAATCGGGATGTGGACTGCTCTGGCTTCTTCTATGCTGAACAGAGATGCAGGGTGAAGCAATTGGGGTACCCCTTCAGTGAATCTATCTAAAAGACTTCCAAATTGCATAACTCTTATCACCACATGGAGGCAGGATCCTGACTCTCTCAGGCAGTCCCCTGTGTTCTCAGCCCCTATGCCAAAGGGAGGCCAGAACCCAGCACTCTCTGGTGGTCACAGCTGCCACACCCATCCCCATAATTTTTTTTTTAAGAATAACATTCAAAAACACTTTTTGGAGTGGCCTAGACCAAATGCCACTTCAGATCTCAAAGCTAACTTTGGTTATGTTCTAGAAACGTTACAGTTTAATTCATTCTTCTACCAATTTTTGAGAGTGCCCATTTCTCACCCCCTTAACAAACCTGGAGAAGAACGATTCTGAAAACTGTGTTAGGTGATTGGTTATTTAAAACAGTGTTTTATTTTCATCTTTTAAAAATCTTTTTTTAAAAAAAAAAAAAAGGATTCTTAGAGCTGAGTGTGATGATACACACCTTTAATCTAGCACTCAGAAGGTAGAGGCAGGTGTGCTGAAAAGTGAAATTCCTATGTTATAAACACTCAAGGAAAGTGTTCTGAGTGGGAAGCCCTGCCTGTGTGCCAGACTGGCTCCCCTTAGCCAGATTCACTTCATTAAGTGGTGAGGGTCACTTCTGGTTGCCCCTCTTATAGCTGTTGGGAAAAAGCATGAATTTGTATCTTACCTAATTTGTTCACCCTGCTGGTAAAGTTACCTCTAATTCAGCCAAATCCTGCCAAGCAGAGGGCACTCCTTGTCCCATAGATACATTTTTTTAAATTTATTTATTTTCACACCCATTTCCCAGATAGTACCCTCCCATAGCCTCCCTCCCCCCATTAGAGTCCTTATACTCTGATATCACTGCTACTGTCTGCTGTATTGTCGGCACCCCCAGCCAATCCCCACTACTTGCCCTTCTGGTGAATCTAGTCAGCCTGTCTAGAGGTCTTTGTTTTAGGAGGGTCAACTGTTCCTCATCTAGTGGTAATCAGTTGTCAATATTCCTTTGGATAAGATTAGGGTCTGCTGTTCATTTTCCCAGTTCTATGCTGGGTTACTATCTAGGAATCCTTTTGGCCACCCTGGCCAAGAACTCAAAAGAAGTATCGCCTGTCTGGCATTGTTGCTTGTTATGTAGCCTTTAGCTATACATATGGACTCTTAAGAAATTATATTGACCCCTTTAATAATTGGTTATACTTTCCTTTGAGATGTTTAAGGCCATACAGTTGGTCCAGATAAACCGATCTATTTTTTACTCTCAGATATATTTTTATTCTAATTATTCTAGTTGGACACCTACTTTTTCTTTTAAGATTTAATTTGATGACTCAACAAAAATGTTGACTTGCTGTGAGACATGTTAAATGAGTGAAGTTGCATTTGATCTAGGCCACCCCAAAAAGTGTTTTTGAGTGTTATTCTTAAAAAAAATTATGGGGGCTGGAGAGATGGCTCAGTGGTTAAGAGTACTGGCTGCTCTTGCAGAGGATCCAGGTTCAGCTCCCAGAATCCACAGGGCAGCTAACAACCTTCTATAACTCCAGTTCTATGGGATCCAATGCCCTCTCTGACGTCCATGGGCATCGTATGACATGGCTGCACTTACATGCAGGCAATACACTTAAGACACATAAAATAAAATAAAAATAACAAGTAAAAAATTTTTTAAAAATTGTGTGCATGTTCATATATATGTGCATGTGTGAGTGCATGCATGTGTGTGAATGCATGTGTGTGTGTGTGTGTGTGTGTGTGTGTGTGTGTGTGTGTGTGTGTGTGTATGTATGTGTGTAGGCCGGAAATGTATTTTGGGTATCTTTCCTGATTGCTTTCCATCTTTTTTTTTCTTTTTCTTGATACAGGGCCTCTCACTGAGCCTGGAGCTCCTGATCTTGACTAGAGTAGCCAGTCAAAGAGCCCCCACAAGCTAGCTGCCCCCCTCCACAGCCCTAGTCTGAGGTTACAGGCACACACCATCACACCCAGCTTTTTTACATGGCTACTGAGGATCCGAACTTGGGTCCTCATACTTTATGCAGCAAGCACTTTATGCAGTGAGGAACCCCCCTTTTTAAATAATTTGAAACATATTGAAGTTCTCAGAACTATAAAGTCTCCCATTCTCTAGTAGTTATTTCATAAAATTTATCTAACTCCTTCTAATGCTACTAAGACAGCATTTAAAATGAGCTAGAGGGACTGAAGAGATAGTCAGTGGTTAAGAGCACTGGCTGCTCTTGCAGAGGACCCAGGTTCAGTTCCCAGCACCCACATGGCAGCTAACATCAGTTCTAGGGGATCTGTTGCCCTCTACTGGGCTCCTCAGGCATTGCATGCATGAGTGCACTTACATGCAAACAAAACACTGATACACATAAAATATAAATACACAAATACATAATTGGAACAGCTGAGGCCCTAAGTGTACGTCCATTATATGCCACTTTATTTATACCGTCTCACTTTCTTTCCTCCATCACTCTTCAGAGTGTATATTGTTACCATGTATCACAGGTGACAGTATTGAGGCTTAGATAGGGCTTTATTGGCTAAGCAGAGGTTTCAAATCCAGGTCTAACCCCAGAGCCCTAGCTTATTCCAGTACAACTGCTGCTGATCTCAAATCCAGGGAAATAGAAATACACACAACAAACATCTACGTCATAGTCTGACCCTTTTTTTTTTATTCCAGGCCCCCTCTTTTTACTGAATGCTGAGGAAATTGCAGAGCACATAGGGAATATGTGGAGGACGACGTACAAGTTGACCAAGACCTTGGCTGAGGTGCCTGGACCTAGGCGTTTAGCAGAGAACATCAAGTTGAGGATTGAGAAGTTCAAGCAGCACATACCTGTCCTCAACATTTCCTGCAACCGGGGGATGAAGGACCGGCACTGGCAACAGGTGAGAACATGGCCCGCCCATGTGGTCCAGCCCCTGCCTGGTCCTGAGAGCCTGCTTCTGGGGGCCCTTGGAAAGGCAGAAGGCCTTCTCCAGCTAAAGGGAGAATTTACTTGAGGCCAAGGAAGTTATAATTGGCTTGATAGTCTTCTGTAGGAAGGGAACAGGTAGACATCCTATCTCATGAACAGGTTGTCATCTTTCTGGGGGACCCCTCTGCTGGTAGGTGAATGTCCTGGCCAGTGGCTACAAACAGTCTCCTTGTTGGTCTTCCTAAGTAAACAGCTTTGCAGCTGGAGTTCCTAAAGGGTGATGAGGTGATTCAATCACAATGGAAAATCTTTGATTTGTTCCTACTGCTAGCATACACTAAGAAGAATGCCCCAACTTTTCCTGGGACTTTGCAAATGATTCCAGATGATTCCTGTGCAGGTTGCCTTTGGTGTGGTTATTCGTGGTCAAACAGCCTAGGTTCAGAAGTAGTTTTGCAAACTAGGCATGGTGGCATGCTCCCAGCATTTAGGAGACTGAGTCAGGAGTACCACTATGTGTTTGAGGCCAAACTGGGATACAGTGAGTTCCAAGCCAGGCTGGGCTACACAGTGAGACCTTCTCTCAAACAGACAGACAAATCAAGAAGCAAATTGTGCTCTTCTTTCAGCTCTTTAAGCCTAGAAATAAGAATAAGAAACATTCCCTCTAAAAATTGGTAGGATTTTTATAAGCAGCCAAGTGTGAGGATGACAAATGTGGTGTGAACACTAAGCAGAAGAAAGCAGCTCACTGTATTTCTAAAGCCATTGTTATACTCAGGAGCTAATGGTAGCCTTGAAATGTCCTTGGCCAGGGAATTTCTGTGTGGAGTGGGGATGTGGCTGGATTGACAGAGACAGAGTCCCCTCTCAGAACTATGCACAAGATAGGACATGATCCCTGGAAGGAACCAATCTGACAGCACACACATCATTTTCAAGAGGACCCCCCAAGACCATAGTTAGGAGCATTTTTATCTCCTCAGAAAGACAGGGGTCTTGATACATGAGAGATTCAGTCGTCCTCAGGGAGGAGCTGTCTTCAGTTTCTAATAAAGTGCAGAGACTCACTGTGGAAGCAAAAGTTGAGATGCTGTGCCCATCTCATTGTAGACTAGTTGTATTTCAGGTGCTCATAAGAGGCTAGTGCCTACACAGAGCAGTCTCTTAGAATTAGAGAACCAACTGTCTCGGCAATCTTTCTAATAGAACAAAATAATAATAATAATTAATAATAATAAGGCTGGAAAGATCGCTCAGCAGTTAAGGACACTAGTTGTTCTTGCAGAAGACCCGGGTTTGAATCCCAGCACCCACATAGCAGCTAACAAATGTCTGTAACTTTAGTTCCAGGGGATCCAATGGCCTCTTCTGTCCTCTGCAGGCATTGCATGACACAGGTGCACTTACCTACATGCAGGCATAACACACACACACATTTAAAACAACAACATTGTAAACGATGGGGGTGGGGAGTGTATTGAGAGTGATTCTTTTAGCCATGTTCTTCATTTATAGTGGGATTTTTTAGTTGTTTTTTTGTTTTTGATCTTTTTGAGACAGGGTCTCCCTGTAGCCACAGCTGGCCCGAACCTGCTATGTAAATCAGGCTGGCCTTGATCTCACAGAGCTCTGCCTGTCTTTGCCTCCTGAATGCTAGAATTAAAGGTGTGCGCCACCATGCCCGGCTTCATTTATAGTTTATAGCATGTCTTGTGCTTTGTGATTTCCTGTACAGTTACTTAGATACAGAGATTCTAGGTTGTCTTCTGGGGACAGATGTACCTAGGAATAGAAAACACAAATACATTTTTTTTTTTTTTTGTCTTTTTGAAACAGGGTCTCCCTGTAGCCCCAGCTGGCCTGGAACTCACTACGTAGACCAGGCTGGCCTTGAGCTCACAGAGATCCGCCTGCCTCTACCTCCCCAGTGCTGGGATTAAAGGCATGGACCAAAAAAAAAAAAAAAAACTGTAAAGAATAAATGAAAGGTCACATCTACCAGGGGCTCTTGTGCAGACTGTGCAGTGTACCATTCAGCCAAATGCTATTTCTGTCCGTTACAGCACAGATTGTACTTTCCAGAGCTGTTCAATATAAAATTCAGTTGTACATAGAAGACCTGACAGAGACATTAGAGTTTGAAAAATGATAGCTTTGGAGTCAGGATTGGATCCAAGCTGGATGGTCTTAAACAGGATAATTAATTTCCTTATCTCAGATTCCTTTTATGAAAAGTAGGAATAATAATGCATTAGCCTCTTCCTCATGATGTTATAAAAATAAAATAAGCTCTGGAAACAATGCCTATTCACAGTAAGCTCTTAATTTTACTCTCTTTATTATTTCTATTGCCATTCTGGTCCTTCCTCAAGATGTCCCCAGAACCCAGATTGGGTCCCAAAGCCCAGAGTTTTCTGGTTTATTCTGGCTTTTACTTCATAAACACCCATTGGTGGTTACTAAATATCAAGTACTGAGGACACCAGGTAGGACAGAATGCAGCACGGCCCCCATGTGCCTTCCTGTTCTGGTGTTTTCTAATCCTATGGCGGCCTAATAGAAAATTAGCAATAGTTGAGGTTTTTGCAATAGTTGAGGTTTTTGCATAGACCCTCATTTCTGTTTCCATCCTCATGTCCTCCACACAAAGGACCTGGTACTACCCAGATCTTCAAAATCACCAGAGTTTCACTGGGACCTTTTTTAGGATGTTTGCACTGAAGAGCCTGGGAGGTACTTACTCCAGAGGAACCGGGCATGTCCACCAAGGAGAGCCACTGGAGAGGAAGGGAGGGCTCTGCTTTATTCTGCTGGGTGTTTTGTTTTGTTTTTTGCAGCCTTGGGGATTAGACCTATGTAAACATTCTACCATCACACTCTTTGACTTGTTTGTAATTTTGAGTCAGGGTATCGATATCACTAAGTTGGCCAGGCTGTCCTTGAACTCACATTGTAGCCTAGGCAGGCCTAGAAGTTGTGATCCTCTTTCCTCAGCTTCCTAAGTAGTTGGGATTACAAAGCCAGTTTAAGGAAATATTTTGAAGTGAACTCCTTCCTACTTCCCAGTAGCCTCAGCTCACAGCACTGGAGAGAATGTTTGACAGAACCTCCTCCCTTTACTCAGCAAATATTACAGCTTGGATTGCTGGCCAAGTTTTACATAGGCACTTAAAGTACAATCCAGACCCTGTCCCAGTCTGAGGTGTTCACAAATCGTTAGGGATACTACCTCTGGAGAAACCAGATGCAGTATGGTTTTAGGTTGCCTTCTGAATCCTCAGACCTACAAAATCTACTTCAGTAACCACTAGTTCCATGTGGATATTTAATTGCGCTAGTTAAAATAAATTGAACATGAAAATTCAGTTCATCAATCACACCAACCACATTGTTCATGCTCAACATCCTCCTGAGTCTCATGGTCATAGCACAAGGCAGTCCAGATAAAGAATTTTCCATCAGTATAGTCATTATAGAAGTTCTGCTGGGCTATATTAGACAAAAATCCACTTGTTTTCAGAGCTAGAAAGATGGCTCAGCAGTTAGCTCTTGCAGAGGACCCAGGTTCAGTTCCCAGCACCCACATGGTGGCTCACAGTCATCAGAAACTCTAGTTTCAGGGGATCCAAGCCAATGCCCTCTTCCAGAGCATTGCATGACACGAGTGCACTAACATGCATGCAGGCAAAACACTCATATGCATAAAATAAAAATAAATGAATAAACACTTGTTTTCCTCTTTCCTTTGCAGATCAGTGAGATTATTGGCTATGAAATAAAGCCCACAGAGACAACTTGCCTTGCGAACATGCTGGAATTTGGATTTGGCAAATTTGTTGAAAAGTAAGGGCCAACCCTCCTTTATATAAAGTTTTTGGTCCAAAGGTCTGCAAGGTCCCACAGTGACATAGAGAATTGATCTCTTTCTAATTCACGGTGAATTAAGACTACTAATAACCTCCACTTCAGCTGACTTAGTTTACGTGTAGTGAAGATCTCTTTTCCTGCTATAGAACTGATGATAAATTAGGACTAGAAATTGTTGCGGATTTTATTTCAAAGGGAAACTAAACATGAATATTCTTTGAACCTGAGATTCATCTCAACTGCTAGTGACTTGGAGCAAAACCATTCTGCCTTTCTGAGCCTCAGTTTCCTCTTCTTAAAACAAACAACAAATTATGAGTGGCCCTCCAAACTCTAAAAGCCCATAGAGCACACTGCAACAAACGATCAGTTTTCTCTCCTTTCCCAAGTGTCCCTGGAATTTGTATGTGAGAATTTGTACTATCTGAATAGTTATTTTTATTTCTTGCTATGTGCTTTTGTTTGAGGGGTGGGGGTGGAGGCCAGAGGTCAACTTTGGGCATCGTTTCTCAGGAGCCATCTACCTCATTTTTTCAGACCAGTCTCTCACTGGGACCTGGGGTTTGCCAGTTAGGCTAGCTGACTGATCAGTGAGCCCCAGGGATCTTTCTATCTCTGCTTCCCCAGTGCCAGGATTACAAGAGCGTATTATCACTTATCACAAGCTTTTTACCTGGGTACTGGGGATCTAACCCAGGTCTCTTCATGTTTGTGTGGGAGGCACTTTACTGACTGAGCTCTCAGGTCCTGAATTGTTCTTTTTAGAATCAAAGACATTCAGAACCTTGTTTGCTTTCCACACTTTCAAGGCAATAGATAGTGGGATTTTACATTACTGTGGCTACAGTCTGTCAGACAACTTGGATTAGCTCTTGTGAGATGCTTGTGGGTCCTCAAAGTGTGGCACCCAGAGCTGCTACATGTCCATCACGTGAGATCTAGCTAATAATGTGTGTTCTCAGGCCCCACACAACCTGCTGGTCAAATTATAGGGGTAAATCCAGCAATTTGGGCTTTACCTCCTGGCTAGTGCTGTCCGAAGCAGGAGTCTCTAACCAAATGCCTCTATTGTGCTCTTGGCGTGTAGCTAGTCTGTATCTAATGTACTGGAAGTTGCAAATACAGGCTAGATTTCAAAGACTTATCAAGAAAAGAGAAAATGCAAATAACTGACAGTATTCATTATCTGAACTGATAATATTTTAGATAGTTAAATAAAATTATTGTTGTAATTTCACCAGTTTCTTACTTTTCTTCTAACGTGGCTACTGGAAATTTTAAAATTGCATTTGTGGCTCACATTACATTTCTAATGGACAGTGGGGATGAAGTTGAGAAGTCTTACTATTGGCATGGAACAACCTCCCATGACAAAGAATTACCCAGCATGGGGGAAGAAAGAATGTGATCCCTTCTCACCGATCAGAAGGCTCACATCTGGTACCCCCATAAGCCAACAAAATAGGCTAATAAAAGGAAGTATAACAAGTGTATTTAATGAAAGTTACATGACACGGGAACCTTTCAAAATAAAGACCCAAATCCCCAAAGAAAACCTAGTTTTGTTCTCAGATCTCATGAAGAAATAACAGCTATATGGAAATGTGACTGGACAAAAGGATCTTGAGCTAACTGAAGCAGACTAAAGAGAAGCCAGTAAGGCTCCTCTGCTCAGATTCTTCCTGCCTTCTCTGGGCAATATGAATGCCTTCCTCCTGGATATAGGACAGGAATCTTCTGGAAGGAGGGTATGATGACCTGCCATCGGACAGGTCAGAGGATTTCTTTATGGCCACCTCCTATACAGGAACATGGAGAAAGGAACCTTGAGGAAGAAGAATTTGGGGTTCTATGACTTATTTGGGGGAAAGGAAGAGGAGGGCAGGAGGGATTCAGAGTCTTCATTTCTGAGGCTTCTTCTGGTATCTTCTGATCTCCTTTGCTTCAGTGTCCTAGCATGGTAAAGCACCATGCTTTGGGGTGCTGTTTGCTGAACCTCAGCACCAGCCTATGCTGATGTGTCAGAGACACTATTACAAAGTGCCACAGACTGAGTGCCTTAAGGAACAGAAATTTACTTTCCCATAATTTTGGAGGCTTGAAGTTCAAGACCAAGGTTGATAGGGCTGTTCTATGAGACTTTCATTGGCATGTGACCATTTTCTCTCTATGTCTTCCACATGGCCTTCCATCTGTATGTGACCATCCTAATCTCTTAAAAAGACCAGTCCTGCTGGATTAGGGTCATCCCTCATGACCTCATTTTAACGTAATTACCTCATTAAAGACTTCAGACACAGTCACATTTTCAGGGACTTGGGGATTTTAACTTTAATGTGAATTTTGGGAAAAAGTATTCAACTCAGAGCATGGCCCCCAAAGTCACTAGTGCTCAGAATGAGAAACCTTAGCACACATTGGAAGTAGATGATAAATTCTAGCCTGAACATTTTAGGGAAATGAAAGGTTTCTTTGGAAACTCTCTTAAGACTCAGCTGAAATTCCTCCTCGGATGTGTTTTCTTTATGTCCTCACATTGCTGTTGCTGTTGATGTATTCTCTCCTTAGGTTGGAGCCCATTAGTGCAGCTGCCACTAAGGAATATTCCCTGGAGAAAAACTTGGAGAAGATGAAGTTAGACTGGGTCAACATGAATTTCAACTTCATTAAATACAGAGACACTGTGAGTTTCAGTCCACTGGGAACTCCCTGAAAGCAGCCCCATTTGTCCTGAAGTAGGTTATAGCCCTGATTCATTCAGAATTGCGACAGACTTCATGGAAGAATTACCCTTTGCATCTGGATTACTTCTTCCAGGCTGCCTTCCTGTACCAATCAATCATCCTTCCTCTCAGATACCACTGAAGAGATGCATTCTCAAATCAAAAGGTGTTTTGACTCGGTACAGGAAGCTTCCTGGGTGCAAAGGAACTGAGGAAGTCTCCTGAATTAGCATCTGTCAGGAAGAGCACAGGCTTCCATAAGCCTTCAAGCCTCCCTGGAGGCCCCCAGAAGCATACCTGGGATAGACAACACATCCTACTTCTCAAATGCTAATATGTACAGGAATTCCCTAGAGATCTCTTTAAACTGATCTGAGGAGTCTAGAATGAGGCTGGGATTCTCCAGTGCTATCAAGTTCCCAAACACATACACCAGTTTGAATTGTAAGGGTGTGGATTTGTTTTCACTGGTTCATGTAGCTAGCTTGTACAACAAATGTGCATCTGCTTCTGTAACTCTAGGGTCTAGCTTGCTCCTGTCATACAGTATAGGGTAGATAGAGATGGCAGCTGCTACTCGTAAACTGTGGAGGCCACCTGTAGATGATCACATACTGAACACCATTGGCTCTTTAAAACAGCACTTCCAGCCCCAGCTACACAGTAGAACCATCTGGAATGTTTGAAAAAAAACAAAACACCATTGATTTTTTTTTTTTTTTTTTCCTGTTCTTCCACCCTCTGAGTCCCTGGCACCTGTACTTTTAAGACCTGCCCTCCGGGTTTTTGAACATTTTTTATCTTTGTGTGACACTTTTCCTGGGGAGGCACAAAACACAAACATACACACACCCACATATACACAAACACACACACACACACACACACACACACACACCGCCACCACCACCACCACCACCACACGTATTTATCCCAGAAAGGGAACCTACAACAAACCGAAGTAACGATTGCACCATTGTCCCACTTAGTGAACCAATGAGTTTTTATGGGGTTGCTAGCAGGAGTGTGGGTAAGGACTTACAGGAGTGGGACTACTCAAAAGCAGCTGCTTCACCAAAAAGCCCACCCCAACCCCAGAGCTCTCTGCACAGGTTGCAGGCAGCTCCACAGTCGGAGACATCTCTCCTCTGCAGCTCAGCTGGTCAGTCTCCCCCAGAAGTTGTTTATTACTTTTTATACTGCTACAGACGGGTCCTTGACAATAGTCCAAGTTTCTGTTCTCCCAGAGTTTCTTCCTGAGTTTCATGAGCCTCTCCCTCCATCCTGGATGGAATATTTCAATGCAGAGGAAATTGTCACACATCTGAATTGCTGGGAATTATACCCAGGGCCTTGCTTGTTGTATGGAACTGCTATCCACCTTAGCTGCATCTCCAACACTTTACCTCCAGTTTTTCCTAATATTCAGTGTAGCTTGAAAACCCAAACCCTGGAAGTTATGGCACTTCCCTTCTCACTGAGCTGCTTATCAACCTCCTGTGACTTCTCTTCCCCTTTAGTTTTTGTTGTACCTCATCCACTGGACCCCAAAAAGACCACCGAGGACCCAACACACCAAAATGCAAAAGCAAAGGTTTATGGTTTATTCGGGCTTAAGCTCGGGCTCTCAGACCTCACCAACTCAACAGATCCGTGCTGAGAGCCCAGAGTAAGGGACAGTGGAGCCTCTTATAGGTTTTAGACAAAGGAAGGTGGGGATACCGAAGATACATTTTGGTTGGTTCAAGGAGCCCGTGCGCGCCAACATAATTTTAAACTGATTGGATGTATAAGATGCAGCCCTGGCAGTTTCTTATCGGTAGGTGCTATTCTCAGGGCTGTGGAATGTGCTGACTGTTATCTGTGGGGCCAGGAGTCTCCGTTTTTACCTTATAGGGCAGTTTTCATGCCCGGGCTTGCTTAATCTATAGTTTCCTGGAAGGGGGGGGAGTAGCAGGCAGGGGTCAGGACATGCCAGGGCGTGTCTAGGCATGTCTAAAGCAGCAGCCAAGCATTTTATAGAAGCTAAAAGAGCAATTAGTGGGGGTCTGGAGGGATTGGGGGTAGCGGGTGAATGAAGAGGGTCTCAGGGTCCTTCAGTTTTGATTCTCACCATGTCTTCATTTACCCTTGGATAAGAACTATCCATGACCCAGTGGGAGGGAGGAAAAGTTTCTTTCCTAGTCTCTCCCGGCAAGGCTAAATCCCATGGGTTCCATACGCTTGAAGCTGCATGTTCTGATAGGAACAACTGGGCTGCAGTAAGTTCAGCTAAGGAGCAGGCCCATTATTCCTGATCTATCTTCAGAGTGTTTGACTGATGTAGCTGTAGACAAGGATCAACAACAAAATGACAAGAGACATTCCACATTCTTCCCAGTGTGCAGACACTGAGAAAAGATAGATGAAAAAATGTAGACCAGGCCAAAATTACCCACGTTTGCATTCACATCATCTATATCTACATTATATCCACATCTGTGTCTGTGGGTTTGAAAGAAATGAAATCAAAGCAAGAAAGACCAGTTGTGCTATAGGGGATAGACTCTTATCACCTTATTTGCCACAATGGCTCAAGAGGAAAAGTACCATCCATAGTAACCTTACGTGATAGTAAAATAGAACTCATCAGATGTATAAGATAGAAGTTTCCAAACTTGCCTTGGTTGGTGGGTGGTTACATGTCTATGTACTCTCATCATGGGACCAACTCTATAAAACAAAACAAGTAAACAGACCAAAAGCTTTGTTTATAAAAAGAATTAAGTGTAAGTAACTTACTATGTCTATCCATTAGCAGACATTTCAGAAGAACTCATAAGTTGAAATTAAAAAATAATTCCTACAAATTGGCTGCAGTACTCGGGTCTAGACCTTACCAGTTAGATTAGCAGCTGGTATTCCCTGAAGAATCTGGGAAAGCAAGAGTCCAGAGAAGCAGAAACTTACATAAGGAGACTAAGTCTTCCTCCCTCACAGACTCTGGGTACAAGTCTAGGATTAGACTGATTTTTGCAAAGAAGGTCAACAGTACATTTCTTTTGTTTTATTTTTATTTCATTTTGTTTTACTGAAACAGGCTCTCACTAAGTATCCCAAGCTCACCTCAAGCTCATGGCGATCCATCTATCTCAGCCTCCGGAGTGATGGGATAACAGGCATATACCACCATGCCTGCCTAATAATATATTTAAGAACAAAATTGAGCCATAAGTACACCTGTACTTTGGCAGCTGAGACAAGAAGATCAAAAGTTTGATTCCCACTTGGGCTTCATAGTGAGACTGTCTCAAAATCAACAAATAAATATTTTCTAGGAAAAAAATCTCCTGTGCCACATAGATGCCTGGGGTGGGGCTCTAAATTGTGGGGCATAAATGGGGTGGGGACAGCAGGTGGGTCTCATGACCCTGATGGGGTGAATATTTTTATTTGCAGGATACTATTATCTTGTGTGCAAGTGATGACATTCAACTGCTACTTGATGATCATGTGATTAAGACCCAGACCATGTGTGGCTCTGCATTCATCAAGCCCATAGAAGCAGAATGCCGGGTAAGAGGAAATTGTGCTGCATGCCTTGTGATATCTCATTCAATCTCAGTTTCTCAGAGGAGGGGCAGGGCTTTCAGGCAGAATGAAAAGTAAACTTCCTTTTCCATGAAGGAGAAAAAGGAAGGAAGAATGAAGAACCCAAGACCGAGGAATAGTGATCTAAGAAAGCCTGCGGAGCCACTGGGGCAGTCTTCCAACACTTTGATTTCTGCAAAGAAAGTGGACCACACATTTGTTTCACGTTGTCTTCCGTAGTTAAGATTAGGAAATATACCAAATGAAAACACACTTGAATACATTTTTTAGTCATTTAGAATATGAACTATGTGAGGGTAAGGGCTTGGCTCCTTTGCTCACCGTCTGTCAAAGTAGCATGGATCAGGATGGGAAGTGTATCTCAGCAGCATGGTATAAGTGAGGCTCTGGGTCCAATCTCCAATATCACAAGGAAAACAAAAAAGAAATGGCATAAGTCACCTGGGTTCAGGCTGCCTGAGTTTGTGTTCTCGCTCTGCCCCTTACTATTGGTTGTGTGACCTCGGGAAAGCAGTGTGAGCTATCGTGTCTTAGATTTTGCATCTGTAAAAGCGAGGTTTGGTACTCTCTCCTTTTATTTTATTTTATTTTATTTTATTTTATTTTATTTTATTTTATTTTGTGTGTGTGTGCGTGTGTGTGTGTGTGTGTGTGTGTGTGTGTGTGTGTGAATATGAACACTAGAGGACAATGTTGGGTGTTGTTCCTCAGGTACCATCTGTCTTTCCGTTTTGAGGCAAAATCTCTCTCTGGCTTAAATTTGCCAAAGAGGCTGGGGTGGCTGACCAGTGAGTCCCAGGGATCTTCCTGTTTCAACCCCTCACATGCCCATGCGCAGCACTGAGATTGCAAGCATGCCATCACACCTCACTTTTTTCTTTTCTTTTTTAGCTTGGGTTCTGGGGATCAAACCCAGGTCCTCATGCTTGTAAGGCAAGCGAACCCTTTGCCAAATGAACCATCTCCCCAGTCCTCATAGGGTGATTGAATTCAATTCCTTTTTGCATGTATTAGGCACTCCGCCCATCACTTACCGAAGAATAAGCTTTATTATTGTTAGCTCACAAAAATGTAAGCTCTACAAGGTACTCTTTGTTTAATTCATTGCTGTATTCACATTCGTTGGAACAGTGGCCAGAACATACATGATGCTCAATAAGTATTGGTTAAACCAGTGATTGAATGGATTCATTTAGTCGATGAATCCATTCATCTACTTGCTCATTCTTTGGGTCTGTGGTGCAGAGTGGCAGGTTAATGATTCAGATGTGGAATGCTAAATTCACAGAAATGGGAAGAAAAGCTAGTTCGGGTACAGGAAAATTTGGATGCCTGGTTGAAATGCCAAGCCACTTGGCTATACCTGGAACCGATTTTCAGCTCAGAGGACATCATAGCCCAGATGCCAGAAGAGGGCAAAAAATTTTCCACTGTCGATGGTTATCGGAAATCACTCATGTCTCAGGCGGTAAGTTTTATCTCCAGCACATCTCACCAGCAGAAGATGTTATCATGGTACACTGGGCTCATGTGCCTGGAAAGTGAATTTTTAAAAATATTTAATTTTAAAAAAATTTTATTTTATGTGTATGAGTGTTTTGCCTGCATGTATGGAAGTGCACCCGTGTCATGCAATGCCCACAGAAGTCAGAAGAAGGCATCGGATTCCCTGGAACTGGAGTTACGGACAGTTGTTAGGCACCATCTGGGTGCTGGGAACAAAAAGTGAGGCACTCTGCGAGAGCAGCCATACTCTTAATCTCTGAGCCAGCTTTCCAGTCCCTAAAGTAATTTTTGTTTTGCAAATTTGACATTTTATACCTTTGTTATAATTTCCTAAAACTTCAAATATGGAAAATATGAGATAGAGGAGATATCTTTTGAAATCTTACCTCCTAGAGTAACCATTAGCAGTTTGCATTGTTTTGCTATTATGTCTAATGAGATAGAAAACTTTATTTGTTATAGGAGGATGTAATAGCATTTTTATAGATTGAGAATCCATTTAGATTGCGAACAATGGCGCCCATTGTTACGTTATTATTTTGCATTTTTTATACCTGTGATGACTCGGATATTATTTTGGAAATCAGAAAATACTTGAGGAGGATAAGAAAATGATTTCTGCCTTCATATAATTCACTGTGTTATGAGGAACACAGGCTGAAGTAAATATGAGCTATAACAGATACCAACAGTGTGTAGCATCCAGGAAAGTGATTTAGTTGCCCGAGAATGACAGGGAGACCTCCAAAGCGGGTGACATCAGAACCAAGCCTTGGAGGAAGAGTTTCACTGCATGTATAAGCCATTGAGGTACAGCTCTTAAGAAGATGGATCTTGTTCCTTTTTAAGCTCATGTGTTCAAATTGTGGCACACTACCAGAGAATTAACCTAAAAAACTTGTCTGCTTACTTGCTTATGGTCTGGATTCTAGGAGTGAGGTAAATGGGGATTGATACTACCCAGCCGGTGGAGCCAGTTTTATGCTTTCTTTGGTGGCAAGTTATTAGAAGCCCTCTCAGTGTCAGTGTAAGTCAAACAAAAACAGGGTGACTCCTGAAATCCAAGGACAGAGATGCAGCCAGGCCTCCCAAAAGATAGACAGAGAACCCAGAAAATTCTCAGGATCTCACAAATGCTCTTTTGGTGCCTCTGGCCTCTGCTCTTTCCATGCCCACTCCGGTCTCTCACTGCAGACTGTCCGGTTCTGCCGTTGAGTAGCATGGCAGGAGATGGTTCTCACATGGCCCCAAAGCCCCTTGATCAAGGGTCCAACCCAGATCAGAATAGAATGTCGTGGTCTGGTTTCTAAAACCCCCAGATGTTCAGATATAATTGATGCAGTTGGTTTGCAATACCCAGCCTCTCCCCAGTCAGCCATGATTGGAGGATTGCAGTCCTGCTCAATGAACCTTCATGCCTCTGGGACTAGGAGGACATTAGGGAGCAGCTACTTAGGCAGGGGACATCACTAGGTGATGGGTTGGCCATACATTCATAACCAGGACCAACTTTATAACTTGAGTATCACATAATGATTCTCACATTTTTTTTGGTGGATGCTAGGTGAAAGATACCAGGGTTCTGGTGGCAGCAGACCAGCCACAGATGACCGAGAAGCTTCAGGAAGCCAATCGTCTGTTGGAGGCCATCCAGAGGGGGCTGAATGATTACCTGGAGAAGAAGAGGCTGTTTTTCCCCAGGTGTCCAGTATTGTTCTTTTATTGGACCTACCCTCTTAGGCCATATATAAAAAGTGGAATTAATTTTCCATCCTAGATTTGGATTCAACCAATCTAATCTGTTTCTGGTTCTCCATTCCTCAAGAGACAGCATCTAGGAATTCAGCATGTCTCATCATCCACAGTGAAAATGAGGGGTCTCCATAGCGAGCAAATCTATACTTTGGCTGCAGTATTACTGTTCATGCCTTTTAAAGGTGCATAGTAGTTATGATTAAGCCCCGCTCTATAGAGTTAGGGAGATCTTTGGAATTCCAGATTTTCTACTTACTAGCTTGAAGACCTTCAGCAAATCTGTTTGAGCCTCAGGTTTTCCAATGTGAAATTAAGACATAATAATAATAATAATTAATAATAACAAGGCTCCTATTTCAAAGGTTTACTCTGCAAGATCAGTGAATTATATGTAAAACACTTAAGATATGTTTGAGAAATGCCAGCTAATTTTTTTTGGCCATTAAGATTTATAGCTTCTGGTAAGTTTATAAATATCTGACTGTCTTTTCCACAGACAAAAATAATGTTCTATGTTAAAGTTAGTGTAGTTTTAGAGGGCTAGTTCCAGAACAAAAAGACCTCACTCCTGAAAATTTATCCATGTTAATGTCCCTATGGATTGTCACTCCATGTCATTTGACTCTGATTAGGATATAGGTTTTCATACCTGCAATCCCAGTACTTGGAAGGTAGAAGCAGTTCCATTAAGAGTTCAAGGTTGGAGGCTAGAGAGATGGTCCATCAGTTAAGAGCACTGGCTGCTCTTGCAGAGGACCCAGGTTCAATTTCCAGCACCCACGTGGCAGCTAATAACAGTCCAAAACTTCAGTTCCAGGGGAATTTGATGCCTTCTCCTGACCTCCATGTAAGTACAACATGGTGTACTTACATACATGCAGGCAGTGCACTCATACACATAAAAATAATAAAGGGCCAGACATGGTGGCGCACGCCTTTAATCCCAGCGCTTGGGAGGCAGAGGCAGGCAGATATTGTGCTACACTGACAATCGTTTTTAAAGTATTTCAGGGGCTGGAGAGATGGTTCAGTGATTAAGAGAACTGGCTGCTCTTCCAGAGGACCCGAGTTCAATTCTCAGGCCTCACATGACAGCTAACAACTGTCCATAATTCCAGTTCCAGGGGATCCAACACCATCTTCTGGCCTTCTGTGGGCTTTGCATCAGTGTACTTCTATACATGCAGGCAAAACACTCATACACATAAAATAAAAATGATTTTTTGAAAAACGAGTTCGAGGTCATCCTTAGCTGTAGTTTAGGGTCAACTAGGGCTACACGAGGCTGTGTCTGACAAGACAACACAAAAAAGTAAATTATGATGCTGCTTTATGTGGAGTCAAAGTTAGTTCCCTACTCCCCACCAAAAATAAAAGTGTGGGGTTTTGTGGTGGTTTTGTTTGCTTGTCTGTTTTGCTTTTCTTTATGGGACAAATGTGCTTGGTGTCTGTTTAGCATGGTATTCTCTAACAGATGATCCAATTATTCTATATTTGTTCTGTCTTATATAGTAGCCATTAGGCACATGTGGATGTGAAACACTTTAAATGAAGCTAGTGTGTATCTCAGAAAGTGAAATTTTAATTTACTTAATATTAATTAATTAATTGATTAAGTTTTTGAGACAGGGATCTCACTATGTAAACCAGGCTAGCCTTGAACTCACAGAGCTCCACCTGCCCCTGCCTCACGAGTTCTGGGATACCTGGCTAACATTAATTTTTAATTTAAATATCCACTGTGGCTAATGGTTTCTGTGCTGAACAACACAAATATAGCCCAAGCAGTGGGCAGAACTCTGCCTTGGAAGCCCAAAATTGAGAAGAGATTAAACTCTGGAAGCTTCTTGAGTTTGGGTATTTTATAAGTTTTTAAGGATTTTATTTTATTTTTATTTATGTATATATGTTCGTGTCTGTGTATGACTATGTGACCATGAGTGCAGGTGCCCATGGAAGCCAGAAGAGAGCTTCAGATCCTCTGAAGCTGGAGTTACAGGTGGTTGTGAGCCACCCAAAGGGGGTACTGGGAACCAAACTCAGGTCTTAACCACTGAGGCATCTTTCCAGACCCAAAGCTTTTAGTTTTAACCTATTGCTGTTATTCCTAGTAAGAATATGTGAGTAACCAACCTAATACAGCATTTTCCTTATGCCAGAACATGCTATTATGTGTTCTATACTTATGCAATCTTTGTAATGATCCTATAAAGTGTTTGTTTTCTTCAAAGAGAAACACTAATGATAATTGGCAAACTGAAATTCAAACCTGGGGAGTCTGGATGTGATACTCAAAATTTTAACCTCTTTGAGTTATTTTCTGCCTAAATTAAATACATATACAAATATCTTAAGATTTTATGAAATAAAATTAAGCATTCTCAGTGAATACTTTAAAATATTGATGATAGAAAACCCACAGAATGGGAGAAAATCTTCACCAGTGACACATCTGTCAGAGGTTTAACATCCAGAATATATAAAGAACTCAGAAAACAAAGAATTGAGAAACCAAATGACCTAAT